TTTACTGAGTTCCTGGAAAAGTCTAAGGAGCCAAGGAGAAAACATAATTATAGGTAAGTCGTGATTACATTTTGGCACTGGTTTGTAAACACCACTGACATAGTATAAACTCTTTCAATTTGAAACTGACGTTTGTAATGTAATGTTATTTGTTCACTGTAATAAATATATATTTTTGTGCCACATGTAAGGTAAAGTTGTAAAAAAAAAACTAAAAGTCGATGAGGTCAGATTTGCCTATATTTTTCTCTTTCTAGACTTAGTCCGAGGACTTTATTTTGAAAATAGTTTTTGCTACAAAATATATATATTGTTTTTAAAATGTACTTGTGTTTATCATTGCGTTACACTACACCATTTATTTTACTACAGTGATACTTCTTTATTGACGTTAAGGCTAATTGAAATACATAATAGTTTCGATGGTTTGACCTTAAAATTGCGTTGGTGGAGAAACGTCCAAGGTGTTTCCCATTTTCAAATGGTCAGAAAGGGTTAAATTGAAGAAGACATCAGTATCTAACAAACAGCTGTTTGTTTATACGTCAACTATCGAGGTAACATCCTATAGTCAATGTTACATTCAGAAAACTAATATTTTTTCCATTTTTTAAATTAGTTAGCATAAAGAATTGTTAAAAAATAAAATTTGCCCAAAGAATCTTTTTTACCTTCACTTATTTTCTAACCTCTTCTTCGCCTCGGTTGCCAAGTTTGAGCTAGTCGAAAAGTCACTTTAAGAATCTTGAAGCCCTAGTGATTAACTACTGTATGATATTTATCATATCAAACTGTGTTATTGCATGTGTTAAAATAATGCCTCACAGATGTCGTTGTGGATCGGCTGAAGACAGTTTAGATAGTGTTTAGGTTCCGTAACGCTCGAGTTAGTTCATTTATTCTATACACTTATATCATTGATTATTGGATACTGATATCTAGTTGTACAGATAGTCAAAGCTGTTATTTCCTGAACGCGTGAAAATATTTTGGTTAAACTGATTGTAAAGAGATAATCTGTTGTTCATATTTTGCCGGCTGTTTTAAATGTAAATATTTTATTGTTGAAAATATTTTTTTATTAAATAATGCTATTTTGGATGCAAATAGTGAAAGTGGATAGGTGTTAAGTGGATGGTTATAGCATGGATAAAACATGCTCCCTTAGTATATTTCTCATCCTTTTGGAAAAGCTGAAGCCAAATTTATTGTTAGTTCTGTCCGATGCACTGTAAAGGTCGTGTTTTGTTTACAATCTGTTTCTTGCTATTTCAGTGATTTAAAACCTCGTTTAGCCAAATAAAACGATCTAATCATGAACAAAATCGTCGCCCCCTAGTTATAAAACCATACAGTAAAGCACAAATCATTTAATAAGCCCTCAAATCAACAATTAGGCACTTGCGATCAGTGTTACCGGACATGAACTAGACACAATAAACGAGCTTCAAAATTTACAATGGGATGAGAAGACACCTTTGTTGGTTATTATATGGTTATAGCAATACAACTAGACTTTACTGAAATAGCCATGAATGTTTACATAAACCTACTACGAGATAAATTGCACTAATGTATGAGCCTTTTCTCAGGCACATTGATAATTTTAAATGAGTGTACTTTGAGGATGGTTTACCAGATTTAAAAACATTTACACTTAGTCCTATTTTAAAATGTGAAGCTGGTTTTGGTTAGTAGCCTATTCATGTCCGCATAAATTTGAGTATGCCGATATTGACTAGGTGTTTGTAAAATAAATTGTATAGTGCACGCTAAACTCTCTGGCCACCATACCGTTAAGACGACAATACTTAAATAGTGTTTGTTTTGTTTAATTATTTGTCAAGAATGTATAAATAAACTTAAAAGTAAAATAAAAAACTCACTCTACGTTTACTGAACATAAAAAATACTGAACATCTTTTCCAGCTATGTGAGGAGCTAGGTAAGGATGCAAACCCCATAAGGAGGACATATTTAAATCATAACAAGTAAGCTATTGACTGTATTAAAACGCTGTCTTGTATAAAAAATATGGACGTAAGATTAGGACATCCTTTATTCATATCCTACACTACAAAACAAATTTCTCATTTTAAAATACACTAACACTCTCTCGTGGTCGGTTCAAACTTAAAGGCAAAAATTCGTATATTTAACGCATTACAAGTATTTTTTTAAATTTATAATTCCTAGATTATCTAATAAAATCTAATCAAATGCTTAGTGGTAATGTGTTGCTTCCTTTTTGGTACGTTCATTTCAACTAAATATTTTTCTACATTTTAGGATAGGTTAGTTTGCGCTTCACCATTTGTTTAAAAAACCTGGTAATGTAGCCTAGTATACAAATATATATTTTTCTATTAGCTTATTATCCATTTAAAATAATTGGAATAAGAAAAATAAATGTTCTGTCAATGACGCGGTAGAACCAAGAAGACCCGATTCTTATTTTGAAAATATACAACTCATTCTTCATACCGAACAGAAACTTAAATACGTTTTTCAGATGATCTCAAAAACCATTTACATAGATATGTATATAATATTTAATCTTTGATCTAAGTTTTAACGTAAAACTAAATCACTTTGGCTTATCCTAACAATGAGTCATTGTTGATCGGTTACCTAGCAACGTGAGTCGAGCTCCAACAGGTACGAACACACACACACACCTGCCGCTGACGTTCTCGCGACGCAACTGAACGAACACTGAGTACTGAAGTGAAGTGACTGAACGAGTCCTGGTCCTGTGTACCTTCTCCCCTCCCCTCCCCTCCACGCAGGACATCTGGAGTCGTTACACTTCATTCACACCTACAACAACCCTACAATACTATGGAATGTGGTGTCAACTTTTGTTCACACTACTGCTGTCCCCAGCTACGTGTTGGTCTTTATGGGACCCATCAACTAAAAATTGTCCTAGCTTTGCCAGTACTCTTTATTTTACCTTTTAGTACTCATCCTACACTCATCTCCATTTATACTTGGCTTAAACCTACCTTCGAATGGTCGCCATTTCAGTTAAAAGTATTATAGTAGTTTACGCAACGATTGCGTTAAGTTAGTCTTTACGACACGAGTAGAAAATTTAAAAACTTCTACGAGTGTCGTAAAGACTATTAACGCGAGTTGCGTACACTACTTTACCTACGACCGTTTTTTAATTACTAAAAATCTGTTTTTTTATTACTAACAATCACTACTCATAACTTCCTAGAGAGGTTATGTTTTCGTTTATTGTCATTGCCACTGAAAGTGATGCAACGACTTATTGTATAATCAGCTGATTTCATGTAATTACGTGTTTGTAAAACTTTGTTAAATAATACGTTAGGCTACTTTTTCAGGCAATAGGTTCTGCTAGCAGCATTCTTACCATAAATACTGTATCAGGTACAATTAGGGAAACATTGCATATATTTTTGGACAACTGAATAATATAGTGAAACAGTTAATTTACAGTTAGATCTCAGCATCGAATATGTGGTCCACAACGAGTTGGGTTACGAGTTGGGTTAAGAGGTTTTCAAAATAAACCAGAAGAACATTTTAATTTATCAATTTAACCTTATTTTGTTTCGTCCATTTAATGAATTGCTGGTATGTAATTGCATATGGTACCTTTGTTTTGATTTTGGTGGCAAAAGATTAGCACAAACAGTTTGTGCTCTCATTTCTATATCGTCAACATCACTTTCACTAACTGATATTTTAAAATCAACCTTCATTTAACTTCCACCAACATAGGTTAAGAATACGCGAGTATCAACAGGAACAAGCCGGATCAACAATTAAAATTGTCAACTGATCAGCTGATCAGCTGATTAGTTGACGCTCGAAGTATTACAATTGTACTTCTTTTCTCTCAATCCTTGAACCTCATTGGTCCGTTACCCATGTTGATATGAGAAAAACTATGCTAATATGAAATGAAACTATGCTGATATGAAAGTAAACAGCTGTTAAGTGAAACTTTTCAATTCTAAGAACTGAAGGGAGTATGTTTTATCTATGACTGAACTGAAATGGCTACTTTAAAAAACGGTCGTAGGTAAAAGTATTGACTACACCACACTGTAGTGTTTTGTCGATAGTTTCAGATACATTGTAAATTAAACCCTGCGAAGTGTGTATATAAGGCATTTAAAGTATATAAGGTTATACACAGACGAGATAAAATACCCCCACCACAGCAAACCTGCAGACTAAGCAAATTTCCATTGGATTTTCACTAAAGTATTTCTTTAAAATTAATTGTCAGATTTATTCCCTATTTTAAAAACACTAAGTTTAATGAGTACTTAGGATGAATGGTATCTTTGTCCTCTTGGGACATCATAACGAAAAATTAAATCGGTCCAGGAATCAGGTCTTATCATGAGACCTGCATTAATAGCATATTTCCTTTGTGGGTTATTCTCTAAAAGAGCTGACAATTAATAAACAGGAACCTCAATAAAAATGTTATTAAAAAGATCGCCTGTTAGGAAGGTGTTAAAAACCAATGCCCTATCAGCAATTACCCATGTCAGTGCATTACTTAAAAACTCACCAGAAACCAAGAGAAGAACTTGAATGAATATATTTTCAATTTAGGGTAAGTGTATGGAGTTGGACGTTTACAGTTTTAATCATAATTAAATTTTTGATAAAGTATTGAAATTGTGCACTTACGTTATTTAACTTACTGTAAAATATTTCTTACTTGTTAGTTGCTTTTTTACTAGTTCAAAATCTATAAGTTTTTCTTCACACTAAGATTGTTATGTAATAAATTTCAATAATGTTACGTCATTAAATTTCCAAAATGATCATTAATTTACAAATAAACATCACACAAACATAAACACGGGTTTTCTAGCTGTTGATTCTACGAAGGTTCAAAGAGCTTGTTATGTTAGCAAATTCGATGAAGCTACAATCACTGACAGCAGATATTGACAGGGTCAGCGATACTCCCAAAAGTATAAAAGATAACAATGCCAGCTAATTATCATTAGTTCACTTCAGACCATGATAGGATACACAAACATTGTAAGTAAGACTAATATAATTATGATCGTTGATTTAGCAAAAGGGGTTTAATTAAAAACAAATATAAGTATCAAAATATTAAAATAAATGAAAAATATTTTTCAAATTAACTACTCTTACATGTAAAATAAAAAAAAAACACTAATGGGTTGTTTTTACATTTATACAGAACTCGCACCACTATTTTAGGTTTTGGAATGGTATTTTAAGAGATACATTACATTGGTGTAAAGATTGACAATTAACCTACGAATAAAACCAACTAAATAATGCATACAACATAGATAGGTTTATTAACCATATCTCAGATTAATAAAACAAAACATTTTTGTTTTATTACTCTGAGATCATATCAATTAATTTAATTACATTAACACTAAGTTAATGTAGTATTGGTACACTAAGCCTAGATAACAGACAGCTCCATTACACGTTTGTGGCAGGCAATATACTAGACAAACGACCGATTACAATTAATTACTACCGTCGGACTGTGTGGGGACACTAACGAATGGATAAGCAAAAATAATCGACGACGCGCCGTAACTAAAACCATTGACTATACACAGAATAGACTTCCCATTGCTCTCTAAAAAATAATGATTATGAAATGCGTATATCACTTTACTCACTAATATTAATGGCCACATAACCATAAGACAAATAACTAAGGCACATAACTTAAGAAACACACAAATGACATAAGGAACACTTTAACCACAAATGCAAATTGTGAACAACAACAAAAAGAAGAATCAATGAAATAACAATGCAACAATCAGCTGTTATAGTAGTATATGCAACGATTGCGTTATAGTATATTTACTAGTCCTGAAAATAGGTGTTTACCGGACGAGTGTGGTCGTTACCATACGAGTCCGGTAATCACATTATGGACGAGTGACGTACGATATTTTAGGCCATAGCCTACTACTGTAAGCTAACTGAACAATAACAAATCTGTACAGATTCTTATATATTCCCACCGACCAAAGGACTAACATTAACATTCACTACTTATAACCTCAAAGAGAGGTTATGTATTTTATAATCACTCATTGTCAAAAAGCATCAGCTGGTTGGTGTCCAGTAAAGACTCATTTCAGTACAGTAGTACGTAATGAACCTTTATTTGATTAAGCTGGCGGCAAACAGCTGTTTTCTGGACTAAATCTTTGCGTGGGAAGTTCTTTAAAACAGTATAGTATGGCGTATAGACTATTTAGGTGAGTTGCGTATATATTATACACTACTTTACCTACGACCGTTTTTTAAAGTAGCCGTTTCAGTTCACTTCTTAGAATTGAAAAGTTTCACATAACAGCATTGTTTACTTACATCACAGCATAGTTTACAAGTTTTACTTAACAACACAAACTACCAAAGAGGTTCAAGGATTGAGAGAAAGAAGTAAAATTGTAATGCTTGGATCTTCAACTTATCAGCTGTTTACCAATTTAATTGATAACGGTTGGTGCAATTAATTAGTAATTGGTACAAGGTACAATGAGTCGTTGCATCAATGTCAGTAGCAATGAGAGGCTATAAACGAAATCATAACCTCTCTTAGAAGTTTTGAGCTGTGATTATTAGTAATTAAAAACCGGGCGGTAAAGTAGTGTACGCAACTCGTACCCCGCCCCACTAGGATTTTTAGTTTTCTTTCTCTGAATTTATCAAGTCAGCTGATTTTTATATACATGTCATTTCTTCTACCACCAATATCTAGTTCAAAATTAGTTGTTTTTCAAATACTGTTTATGGTAAGATATTGTTGGTAAGATAATGTTTTATATATGAAAATTAACATCAAAATCTCGTTGTTCTAATGGAATCGGTTTCGGTTTCATTATGGTTTGAGACTGTGTTCAGGTCACAATATTTGATCGTTTTGTGCCATGTCCGAAATGTCAAAAAAGAACATCGGCAACAGACACCTCAACTTTTCGTGTTATTTTTTTTTAGCAAATGTCAGATGGAGGATTTTCACCCAGGCATGTAACATGCAACAAAAAATTTTCAGACTTTGTTTTAGGCTATTGAGATTTTTCGTCTATGATATTACAAAACCAAGAATCATTTTAAAGAGTATTCATCAGCTACCGTACTTTTTAATCATTACAACTAAGCAATATCACCATGATTTTCCTATGTTTTCCAGGTTTTGCTGTCTCTGGCAGTAGGGTTGGCCGTAGCCCGGCCTTATGGATCCAGTGTGGAACATGGAGGTAGATAGTAGTTTATTAATTTATTATTTTATAACATGTTTATATAAAATCTAACAATGAATTTACATTCCAATACAAAAGTGAACCTGAGTACAATATAAGTACATTATAATACTGATACTTTGTTGATTCAAATGAATTTTTCGACTAAATCAACGAGTGAAGGTCCAAGTGAAAAGAAAGTATAGCTTCACAAACAAAAGTAAACGACAGTAATATTACATATAGGCAAAATTATGGATACAGTGCACGTCAGAAGAAAAACTTTGATTCTGCTGAAAAACGATTCATAGTTATTTAAAGTGTTTTTTGTCTTTTTTCAGTTCATTAGATTTTGATGTATTGGTTATAAAAAAATATTAATATGATAATGATAGGTTTTTACATGGTAAATTACTACTCACTACTAAAGCCAGAGACCTTCTATATGAAACTAGCTTCTTAATTTGTTTAGATCAGCTGTCTGAAATTGTGAAATAAGCAGGTGACAGTTCTGCTTGTTTTCATTGAAATTTCAATGCAAAGGTAAACATAGTGAATTTTCTCATGCTTCCATGGATACCAATTATCAATAATTTACTTTTGTAAACCTCACATCAAAACTTTGGACGTCCAAGGGGCGTAGCCCGAAAAGAACTCTGGGAAGTGAATAGGCCTATGATATTCCTAGATATGTGGACAATCTTTGTGCTTAATTTTGGCTAATCGGTTTAAGTAAGTATTTTAGTCATAGTAGCTGCACAGACAGACAGACAGACAGACAAGAAGACAGACAGATAGACAGATAGACTAGACACCACCTCAATTTATGGATAGAGATAGAGGTAGATGAATAGTACTGTTAACCTCATCTTTTTTATTGTAACTTCATCCATACTGTAAAAGTATTTATCATTATGCAAATTTTTATCTAATGTTTTACTTGAATTCTCGGTAATTTCATTGACCTCCGGACCTCTGCAAAATGTTCATCTAATGTTTTTGCTTGAATTATCTTTTGTTCTACAAAGAGTCACTCTAACAACATTCTCTATTTTGTGGACAGTTTATATGGCATTAAGTATGTCTAGCAGATTATTGAGTAATCTTCCTTGTTCAAGCTTACAGTTATCTCACTAAGAAAAACCTTAAAATAGCATTTGATATACATTCTACAGGATCTACGAATATATGGTGGAAATGTGAGTTGAAATATTGACAACTAACACAATAAAACATATTGTCACACATCCAACAGCAAAACAAAATTATATATTGAAATAAAATATGTTTAACCACATTTGCTGTTACAGGTCATGGTCATCGTAGGTCCCAGAGCATGGGGGGAAGCCATAACCTGGGAAGTGGTGGTAGGTTTATTTATTGGCCAACTTAAACTTATAAGTGAATCCTGTATAAAAAAGTTGAAAAATGTGAAGCTGTCCTGTAGAAAAACACTACGATTGCACGTTATTCTGAATTAAATGTTCAAATTAAAATAAAAGGATACAAAACAAAAAAACTATTTTTTATACAGACTTCAGGTTTTAGGTAGTGGTTTAAGATTATAGAGCATGTGGAAAAGAATCACATAGTTAAGACTTTCACAAAATATAGGTGAGAGTATTAATATCTATAAAAATAAATAAACTAATGGAATGAGTAGCCTATATGGCATGAAACAATACAAACAGTAGATGATTGTGTATCTTTTTAACAATCAATTTGTTTTTTCACATATTGCAAGTGAGCAGTGTAAACCCGGTTGACTCTTTGTTGGATAGCATTATTAATTGATAGCAAAATATGAAGGTGTTTTTTTTGGAGTAGTTTGCCTCACTTTAATTATTGCTTTTTTGGTAACTTTTAAACCCCCTTGACAATCTGTATGTCCTCCATTGATTTAGTGGGAGCGACATTACCACTCTGAAATTTTCAATAATAATAGATATTAATTTTATATTTTAGTCAGTTCTCAGAAATTGGCGAGCTTTCCCACACCGTAAAATTTATGACTATACCACTAATGTATACTCTAAATTTTGTATGTAATCCTGATTATGCTATGACTTCCAGATCTTATTATTTTCATCCCAACTCAAGCATAGTCCACACTCTGTGGATAAGGGCCAGGGGTTCTCTTTGAAATTCATTTAGTGTATTTAAAATAACATGGCTAGGTGACAACTAGTTTCGTACTTATCTGAACCATCATCAGGCCTCAAGGTGTCAAGTAATCACTTCATTCGAAGGTCGCTAAAAGAGTTCAATAAATAAAACATATACAACACACGATAACATAGAACGGACACACGTTTACAAAAAACACTAAACACGTGGGGGACATTGAAAAAATCGAATGTGACCGGACTGAAATGAAGTCTAGACTGTCTAGACGCCGTCTACTAGACTAAATTTAGGGTCTTAGGGTCTAAACTTTACTTCAGCCCGGCTTGTTCAATTTTGTCAATGTCCCTTCCATGTCCATTTCCATGTCAATGTCCGTGTGACCGTTCTATTTTCTTGTGTGTCGTATAATTATGTTTTATTTATTGAACTCTGTTTGTTAACAACCTTCGAATGAAGTGTTTACAAGACCTTGAGGCCTGATGATGGATTAGAAGAACCAAAACTAGTTGCCAAAACAGCAACAAAGGATTACTGTACTATGCAGGTTTTGTAAACCATTTTAAGTAGAATACAGTAATCCGGAAGCTAAACAACTCTTTGAAAATTGGCTAGGTGGGTTTAAAAGGTGTATAAATAATCTAAAAAGTTGTTTATCTCACATTCATTTATTTTCCTGTAGGCAGTGGAGGTGGTCTTCATCAGGGTGGTTCAAGAGGCGTTGGAGGTGGAAGTCACCATGGAGGTCCTTCAGGCATTGGAGGTGGAAGTCAACATCTAGGAGGCATTGGTAGTGGAAGTCACCATGCAGGTCAAGGAGGTATTGGAAGTGGAAGTCATCACCAAGGAGGTCTAGGAGGCATTGGAAGTGGAGGTCATCAAGGAGGTCTAGGGGGCATTGGAAGTGGAGGTCATCAAGGAAGTCTAGGAGGCATTGGAAGTGGAGGTCATCAAGGAGGTCTAGGAGGCATTGGAAGTGGAGGTCATCAAGGAAGTCTAGGAGGCATTGGCAGTGGAGGTCATCAAGGAAGTCAAGGAGGGATTGGCAGTAGCAGCTTGCATCATGGTGGCGGTGGACAACATGGAGGTTTTGGCTCTTCTCATCATGGCGAACATCATGGATTTGACCATGGTGGATACAAGAAACATGGCTATTAAATAAGTGTATTGTAATTTTTAGGGCTTTTATTTATTTAATAATAATTTTGTAAAAGCATCTAGTTTTTGGTTTTTACCTACAAATTAATTTAATATTTCTGTGACTAGGCTACTATGAAAATTCTTTTATAATTCAAAAATGGTGGATAGGCAACGGACTTCTATGAGTTGGAGTTCTCGGGTCAATCTTCCATACATTTTGTCTTTAAAAGCATATTTTGGATTAAATATAATGCTGATCTCAAAGTGATATACAGGATCATTAGAGGTGGTTCCAAAGGGAGAGGGCCTATATAGGACAAAGTCCCCTCCTTGGACCCTGGAATATAAATTTAAACATACATTTTGTCATAAAAACGCAATGGAGGCTTTTGGGCACAGTTCTAGACGTTATAATGGCTTTTAAAAGTCACAAAATGGCTTAAAAATGCAAATTTTATGGGGAAAAACCCCTGAATCCCCTTCCTGGTGAGGAACACACCCGTTTGCCCACCCCCCTTGACAAGGTCCTCTGAATAATCCCTCTGGTTCAAAAGGTCCATAATATTATGTAGTGATTTACATTTAGATAAAAATTCATAGCTAAACTGTTGTTAGGTAGGCTGGCCAATACATTAATAGAAAGTTGTAGCGTTGCTAATTACGTACACCTAGGTTTTAATATTGCCTCCATCTGCTTGAAGAACACAAAATCAACAGTCACGGTCATACAAAAATAACTTAATAAATATAATTTATCATTCGGTCATTTTTAGTGGAAATTGTGTTTAAAACTACAAAACTCTAAAAGTTACTTAACCAGCAACACCCCAAAGGGTAATTTTTTAGAGGACAAGTTTTTAATTGTAGGTTTGTAGCAGTGGCGAAGGTTATAGGTTTCCAAGGGGAGGGCGAAGGGGATAACCGCAACCCCCCACCCTTCGGGCATGTATTTTTTTAATGCATGTAAAGTCAATATTTTGCCGCGATCGGTGAAGATGATGATGATGTTCTGTTACGGCGGGGTTATTCAGGGTTTTGCTGTGACCGTGGGAGACAGTAACAATGTCTACACGACCGTAGGAAATAAACAAAATTTTGCCGCGATTGAGGAAGATGATGATGACGTTGCACTGTCACGAATGCAAAGTCATTTAGAAAGATATGACCTAATATAAAAAAAAATTAGCATGGCTTCCTCAAAGGAAGATCCACGATTACAGCTCTGATAGACTTAATCGAAATCATTATAGGTCATCTAGACAGCATGCTTGACTATATTATAATATATTTGGGCCACGACCTCATCTGGAAAAAATATCAGCTTTGGGAATTGATGATATGGCAAAATAATGGGTTGCTAGCTATTTAAAAAGGACACAGACAAATTGTTGAAATCCAACAAAAAGTACAAGTTCAATCAAATGTACACAGATCAAGACAATTGACAGTGAATAGAGGAGTGCCCCAGGCCCTTTTTTACCCTTTTTACGAATGACTTACCAGGTTTTATAAATGACAACCATTATGTACGCAGATGACACAACACTACTGTTTTGAAATGACACAGTTAGAATTATATTCAGGTACTTATACAGTATTATCAACAAACAAAGCTCTACAATATTATCTAAAAAATGACTTGGCTATAAACCCCTCTAAGATGATACAGATTAATCTTAGCAGAAGACTGGAGCACATACCTGAAACGCATAATATTTCAGTTGAAAAGTTTAAACACATGGGTGTTACTATTGATGCTGATCGCTCCTGGACAGATCATATAAACAACTTAACAAAGAAGCTTTTTTATCTGGGACCTATGTGGTAAAAATGATCAAATGGACTGCAGGCATTCAAGCAGCTAAGACAGCATATTTTGCTTTAGTGAAGTTCCATCTCAGGTATGGGTTGATATCACGAATATTAGAAAAGACCCGGTATGGATCATAAACATAAAAAATGTTGTTTTTGGCCCGAAAGTAAACAAAACCATATGTTAATTAATGCTATGGGTTTTGTTTGCTTTCAGACCAAAAACGTCATTTGTTTATGTTTATGATCCATACCAGATTTTTTCTAGTATTCGTGGTTGATATCATGGGGAGGAACATCTAAAACCAATTAACAAAATCCTGGTACAGTACTTCAGAAGGCCATTAGGGCTCTAATGAACCTTGACCCCGATAGCTGCACAGAAGCCTTTAAATCGCTAATGCTCCCAACCCTCATAGCTCTATACACTGATCGGCTGATCTTCCCAGGAATAGAGATTTTCACCCGTACCAAACCAGAAAAGCTACAGATTTCAGCCTTCCTGCACACCATACAACGCACTTCAGTAAGAAACCATCCTGTATCAGCCCCAAGACCTCAAGACTATGAGAGGAAACACTCTAAAACAGGGTCTGTGAGACTGGCTCGTGGAACGAACTGATTTCCAATCAAAGAATTCTTTGATCTCATAAAGATAGACCAGAAAATACTTGTAAATCAAGAGACCTGAAACAAACATGACACCATTGTATTTCTTAAAGAATTTACTATCAAAGAATTTTGTTTTTTGTATATCGCCCTCTCTGTGTAAAAACACATCATTTATATATATATACATTTAATTCTCAAAAAGACTATCTTTCAATTTGTCATTCAAATCATATGTTTTGTTTGTTTATACATATTTAAAACAACATTATAAATTACAGTCCACTGTTACCTTCAATAAACATGTACTAAACATTTTTCTATCTTTTGTTTTATAATTTAAATCAATTTCATTTTACATTTTGTTCCTTCGAGCCGGATGATCTTACGCCCCTAACACCTGCTCATTTCCTAATTGGAACTTCATTCACCAGTGTTCCGGAACCTAATCTTAAAGATCTGAAATTAAATAGACTTTCTCGATGGCAACATGTTCAACAACTCTCACAGCATTTTTGGAACCGATGGTGCAAGGAATATCTGAACCAACTGCAGAAAATGTCAAGTTGGAATACATCAAGACCTAACATAAAAATTGATGATATAATGCTTATTCAAGACGACAATTTTGTGCGAGTTGCTACTCTAAAATCAAAGGATGGACTTATTAAGAGGTCTATTTCAAAACTGTGCCCTTTACCAACTCAAGAAATTAATTGAAATTAACCAAGTTTAATATTTCAAAGGGGCCGGAATATGTAAAAACACATAATTTATTTATAATGGTTTAAATACCTGCATTCAGTAATCCAATATGCTGCGTGTGGCAACTATAGTTTCGGTTCACAGGGAACCATCTTCAGGCCGTACAAGGCGTCGTTATTCACTTTCATATATGAAGGTCGTCATTTAATAAATAAGTACATAGAACACGAACACACGAAAACGCGCATTGACACAAACATTTAACATTAAAAAGACCGAGTACTCGGGAACACGAGACAGGTGACGCGACCGGTTGGAACCATTATAAATATTCAAACGTAATCCGGAGGCTAACAACTCTTAAAAACATAATTTATATATATATATACACTAGCTGGCCCGGCAGACGTCGTCCTGCCCTAATGTGGTTTTATGTCAAATGCTCATTCATTTTCAAGATGAGTCGTTCGCATGGCTCAATCACGTCCTGGTTGAAGTTCGTTTGCTACGCTCACTCACCTGTAGGTTGGAGCTCGTTCGCTGCGCTGACTTGCCTTGGTTGCAAATTAGCTGTTGTCATAAACTGAAAAAAATAATAGTGCTGCACCCTGTTGGTAAACCTATTAACTTTTTAATGCTATTGAACATCATAGAATTAAATTCTTTAGTTGAACCAGCTGTTAAGAATCTTTAATTCCATTTAAATATGAGTACTCATAAGGTTAACATGGGAAACTCCAGAGCCACTGGGGCGGAGCCCTTTTGACGGATCTGCACCAAACTTCACACAAACCATCCTTGAATAATGCTGAATAATACCTGAAAGTTTCATTACAATCTGTCGAACAGTTTCGGAGTCCATAAAGGACTAACAAACAAATATACATACATTGGATTGATAGATTTAATTCTCAAAAAGACTTATTTTTCAATTTGTCATTCAAATCATATGTTTTGTTTGTTTATACAGATTTAAAACCACATTATAAATTACAGTCCACTGTTACCTTCAATAAACATGTACTAAACATTTTTCTATCTTTTTTTTATAATTTAAATCAATTTCATTTTACACTCTCTTTTCCTTTATCTCTCCATAGAAAATTCAATAAGTATTCTGATTTTAATTTTCTTTAAGTTGCATTAATTTTATAATATCAAGGGAAATAAAAAACACACATTTTTACAAACTTTTACTACAATGTGAAAAAATTATGTGACTTCTCTATGATTATTACAAATGTCTAGCTTTAATTTAGTGCTATGAACAATGTGAGTAGGCAACACCTAGTTAGCCTTAAACAATAAAATATTGGAATGCTTAGTTAGCACTAACTGCATCCGGTGGTAACTTGCAACTAAACGGTAACAACAGCCTAGGCACTAACATCCTGGTATAACTGTAGTATATTTAAAATTTAACTAAAAAAGTAACAGTCAAATTTATTTTTAGTTTACGCAACAATCACGTAAAGATAGTCTTTAAGACACAAGTAGAAAATTTAAGGTACGAGCCTTGGCAAGAGCCTGTAAAACTTCTACGAGTGTCTTTAAGGCTAATTACGTGAGTTGCGTACACTACTTTACCTACGACCATTTTTAAATTACTAATAATCACTACTCATAACGTCTAAGAGAGGTTATGTTTTTGTTTATAACCTCTCATTGTCACTGATTGTGATGCAATAACTCATTGTTCCAACCCAACCACTCACTCATTGTATAATCAATTAAATTGGCTTTAACCGCTAATAAGTTGATGTTTGAAGCATTACAATTTTACTTCTTTTCTCTCAATCCTTGAACTTCATTGGTCCAAACTTGTACTGTAAAGTAACAAATCAATTATGTTAAGTATAAGTAAACAATACTGTAAAGTGAATCTTTTCAATTCTAAGAACTGAATTGAAAAGGCTAGTTAAAAAAACGGCCGTAGGTAAACATATTAAG